ACAGGAAGTTGCTTGCACACATGATGCAGCTGCAAACCAGCTGTCTCTCAATGTATTGTTAAATACATAAGGTTACTCTGTCCAAAAGCATGTGAGGCAATACAAGATTCTGTCTGTGGCCTTCACACACATTCAGATACAGAAGTCCTAATTTGATACCACAATGATAAATATGCCTGTGTGAACATGCACTTGGAGGTCCTGTTGATTTAACTAAAAAGATCTCGAAGTTAATAGGTTGAACAAAGAGAGGTCAGTTGCCACATGGGCACATTTGGCCATTAGGATGCTATCCTACTAATCTATAAATACAAAATATTTAAATAAATTCTGAATTTTAGCAGCCTTTTCATGAATTTCTGCTTTAGTTTCCACCATCAAGCTGTTGAGCATTTGGAACACACAGCTTTCTTTTGAAGCTTTTTTTTTTTAACTTTCTAAATCAGAACCACTGGCCAGAAGTTTAGCTGTAAACTACAAGAATTTAAAAATAACTCCTTATGTATTTTGTATGCAGACAAGGGACACAATTGCTTGCTTATAATTCTTCTGTCTTTTCATTTATTGTATTCTTTATTTCAAGTATTTTTCAGCCACATGTTCGGGTGATGCCCTCAGAAAGCAATTTACAATCAAAGAAATGGGAGATAAGATACAATTGAAAAGTAATCACATCAAAACAAAGATATAGACTGTGAAACTCCTCTGGAGACATCAGCTGTGAAATCAGTCAAAGGCAGCAGTAAAAAGCAAAGGTTTCCAAGAGGGCCTAAATGCCAGTAGAGAAGGGAACAAGGCATACGTCTACTGGATGGGAGATCCAAAGATTTGGGCCATCACTGATAGGGCCATGTATGTTTTTATGCACCAACCTCTTTGACCTTAACAGTGTGCATTCAGAGAGAAAAAAACAGACACAGAGGTAGATATTAGTAAACAGGCAAGATCGAATGGGTGCAGACTTCAGATAGTTTTGTCCCAAGCAATTAAGGTAGACGAGAGCAACCTCAACAGGTCTGGGGGGGTTTCAGCCCTCAAGAGCCATACAGGCTGACAAAAATGTAAAAAGAAAACAAAACTGGAGGCAGCTTGAAGCCCACCTTTCATTTTTAAAAATGAATGTTGTGTTGTACTAAAAAAGCAGGAAGAGCGTCATATTTAGAAGGTGAAATCACACTCCTGGAAGCTTCTAAAAATAGCAGTTCTCCTCCTAGTTGGGAAATACCATTTCTGGAGTGAGAGGCAGCTTTGACGGTGCATTCAAGGTTTTGAAGATTAAGTTCAGTGTTTGAACTGGACTGGAAACCTGCTGATACAGACAGAAGAACTGAAGCAAAATTTGAATGATCTATTCAGAATTTTGGATGCCACCATAAACACAGCTACATTTTGCACCACACCTTTTTCACAGGAGGCCCACGTAAGGCAGGCTGCACAAGTCCAGGGTTGGAAATGCCATCCTTGACAAAGATGAAAATAGACGCTGTCTACTTATGCTTCTTGGGTTGGGTACGTAGTTGAAGAGCAGGGGTTGGGAGTTCAATTCTCGCAGGAAAAGAGCCATGCCATGTGGCCTTGGGAAAGCTACCCCCAGAAGGAGGACGTAAACCTCTTCTGTGTATTCTCTGCCTTAATAATCCCTGGAAAGGGTTGCAGTAAGTCAGAATTTACTTGATGGCATGTAATTATTATTACCTCTGCTCATAAGGAAGTAATTTAATTCATAGCACAAATTTAATTAACAGAAGAGCCCCTCTGGATCAGACTGAACATTCAGTCTAGTTCAATTTTCTGTTTCCACTAGTGATCAATGAGACACTTCCAAGAAGCCTGCACACAATGTGTGATGGAGGCAGTACTCTTCCCTAATTGTGCCCCAGTACAGGTCCTTTGTAGTACTCCTTTGTATGGAAGCTTCATCTAGCAACCAGACCTGTTATGGCATAGCTACCATGTTTCCCCTAAAATAAGACAGGGTCTTATATTAATTTTTGCTCCAAAAAAAACATTAGGGCTTATTTTCAGGGGATGTTCTATTTTTTCATGTACAGCCATCTACATTTATTCAAATACAGTTCTGTCATCTTCTTCTGGTTGCTGCACAATGGTGGAAGGCGAGGTTTCACTTAACTAGGGCTTATTTTGGGGTAGGGCTTACATGATGAGCATCCTGAAATATCATACTAGGGCTTATTTTCAGGTTAGGTCTTATTTTTGGGAAAACAGGGTATCAAGTGATACTCTTATTTTATTTATTTTTATTTTATTAGATTTATACCCCACCCATCTAGACCAAAGATCTACTCTTACCCCAATTAATAGGAGATATTAGCTAACCTCTATTGAAAAGCAGAAAACATTACTGTTGATTGTCCAGTACAAAGTTACCTTACCTTCAGGCCCCAATATATGCAGGGATATAATCCCAGTTCAAAGCCACAGCTGCATTAGGACAGTGGCAAAACAACAAAGGGGGAGGGATGGCATTAGAGGCACAGGGTTCTGTCCAAGTATTACTTTCATACAGCTGCGAAATGTTAGCTTTTCTAACTCCAACTCCTAGAATCTACCAACCAGCACAGCAGTGGGGGGGTTCTGGGAGTTGTAGTCCAAAACATTTCCCTAGTTTACTCTGGAAAGCCAGAAGTTCTTCTCACAGTCACTGGACCAAGCTGAGGTCTGCTGCCAAGCTGATTGATTTGTTTTGGAGGGAAAACACGCAGAACACATAGAAACATAATGATTGGGTGGAGCTGAATAACATGCAGCTCAGAGGTCTCTCATGTAAACTCTGTACCTCCTGTGACTTTTGTTATCGCCATCAGCTATTTTCAAATAACATCACAAATATATATAGCAGAACAGGGGGTAATCTGGCACAGTTTTCCCCATGTGCACCTCAGCTGCTCCTGTGCGGAACTGTAAAACAGCACAAATCAGAGTGAGCCAATAAAGTACAATAGCCAAGACAGAGGTTGCAGCTTGTATAGCTTGTAATGGAGAAGGGAAGAATTAAAGAACCCTCCCCACCTACATCTCAACAACTATGGGAGTGGATCACTAGGCAGATCCAATGTTGCTGGCTCTTCAGACTGAACGCTAAAGTTCCTATTAAAACTAAACTGTAGTGTTGCAATGCCATGAGAAATCCAACACAGCCTTGCTCTACCTCCTCCCAAGGCTCTCCCACCTCTAAACATGATCATACCACCACCATACTTGGGCACAAGCCATCCCAATGTTGCTTTCAAAGGCAGCATGGAAAATGTGTTCTTTCCCTCCAATCCTCCGTGGCCATTCCCATGTCAAGGTGCACAGTAGCCAAATTATTTTGGCACTCTCTATGCACACTTGTGAAGTTAAATTGTGGCAAACATACAGCCTTGCTTTGATGCCCATGGAACTGTACGGACCTAGGTGCTTCAAATTTAGAAGTCTGGACACCTCCCAGAAACAACATACTAGCCAATATTAACTATGGCTTGTTAGAAGGTCCCATCACTATTAGAGATGAGACAAGCAAACAAAATCTCTAGAGACTATGCATTTGTGGTGTCTTGAAGATGGAAGACCTACGCTGTTTGTATGACTGTTCGGTTTATAGCATTTGGAACGAGGTGAATTGCTGCTAAATTGATCAATAAGGCCTGTATTCCCTTAAAAAAGTACAAATTATTTTGGAGCTGAAAAGATAGGTCTTTTTCCTCTTGCTGCATTCAGAATTAGGCAGTCAGTATTCATTCTGACTGTGATGCTCAATATCACAGATTTTCACTAACTGATGCGGGAGGCACTATGTATGTGCCATAGTTATGTCCTCAGGATTCAAACCACACACATATACACCAGCTTAGGTGAAGAGAAACAGGAAAAAGTGTGGCAGGAGGTGAGGATGAAGAGGAGGAAATGAAGTTGATCAAATCCTGTACTGGAATAAATTTCTGGTATGACACTAGAGGGAATATAGAATTTGCCATAAGTATATTCCCCCATGGCTCCACTTGAATCTTCACCCTCTTCTCAGTCAGAATGTTGCTGGATAAATTTTCTGCACAAGGCAGAAGCATTTCCACAAACATGTCTGGCAGAGGAAGCAGAGTTGCTGTTTTAGTGGTGCTAAGAGCCTGCTGCCTCATTCTGACACTCTTTAGCTAATGAACCCATCAGTGATGACACTTGTAGGCTTCAAGCCTGTTCACAATGACCTGGGAGTAAGCCCCGCCAAGCTCAATAGGATATTTCCAAGTTAGCCGTGTATCATTACAGCTCAATTGCCTGAAGGACAAGATGTGGCAAGTAATGAAATTGTCCTTTTCTACTTTGAAATTTTTGCCTGTGTGTATCACTGAATTACAGCTCAGTTGCCTGATGGACAAGATGTGGCAAGTAATGAAACTGTCCTTTTCTACTTTGAAATTTTTGCCTGGAAATGGCAATGAAAAACAAAATAACTAGTCATCAGTAAACATTTTGTTCAATCCATTAGGGATGCCTGTTTTAGTCCAGAGATCACATACACACATCAGGGAGCACCAATGCTAGGTAGAGTACCTTTACAATGTGGGTGGAATGTAAACACATACACCCACACACACACTTGCACAAGGAGGTCCTGGGCACCTCCTTGTGCGAGCTCTGAAGAAACCATGCCACAGACCACTTGCCTGGGCAGGAGGGGCAACAGTATCCTAGTCTAATGTTTTAAACATTGGCATTTTAAATGTGCGTTTTTCAAATGTAGGTCTTCTCCCCGTCTATAAATTCTGTCAATCTTTATTTCTTGGATGACCTTTGGCTAAAACAAAGTGAATGTGAATCTCTTAGATGAAACCAGGCTTGATGAGGAAGAAGAAATCATCCAGGTACAAAACACAGCTGCAGGCCCACCTAACCCTGAAAGCAGTTGCATCGCTCACTGCTGGACAAGTGATCTTTCTCCCACATGCACTCTTTCCCAATATCCTTTCCCCATTTCTGCCCAACACACTAGACAGAGCAGATCAGTCTTACCCATCACCACCTTTAATAGATGGGGAAGAGTTAACAGATGCTCTCTACCCCTTTAAACAGCAGTCCAGAGGGAATATTCCGATGAAGCCTCAAACTGAGCCCCACTTGTGGGCTGTGTGTCCAAAAGTGCAGAAGGGGCTCCAGAGGCACCACGTCTGGCAGCTAATCCAGGAAGCCCATTTCTACGGCTTCGGCCACTTCAGGGTGAAGCAAGCGTGTGGCCAGGCGTTCAATATCGTCCAAGCTCAGCAGTCGAAGGCTTCGCTCATAATCCTTAAAAAAGGAAGGAAAGAGAAAAAAAAGAAGGGGAGAGAATTGAGAAATGCACCAGACAGGTATACAGCCAGTGATGGTCTAACAAAACAAACGCATATGAGTCCATGTGTGTATGAGAATAAACGCAAAAATATACTGTCCAAATCCAGGGAGGCTAATATGCTTGAAATGATTTAACTGTATTAATTTTTAATAAGGTTAAATGTTTAAAAGAAAAAATTAAAAAAGAGAAAAGTATACTGTTTATATACCGCCTCCTAGTGTTTAAAGCACCCCCTGGGTGGTTTACAATTTAATTATGCAGGGTAGACACTGCCCCTCCTCAGCGAGCTGGGCAATGAATTTACCAATTTTGGAAGGATGGAAGGCTGAGTGAACCTCAAGATGACTACCTAGGATTGAACCCAGGTTGTGAGCAGAGTTTAGGCTTCAGTTTTAACTACTGCCCCTTCAGTTTACTAAAATGTTAAAACTAGAGGACTAAAGAGTCCACTCTTTGTACTCCCTAGATAGAAGGTAGAAGTACACTGGATCAAACAGTACCTCTGTGGTTTTTCTGTCAACTTTCTGGAAGGAAAATCAGGGTTGTTGTTTTTTTAAATTAGAGCTGAAAATACATGGAATTTGAGTCAGGACATCCCTAAGTATGTCATGCCCATCTGGTGGCAACAGTTCCCTGCATTTAACACTATGACTCACCATGCAAGACTGATTGTGGAATAGTCTGAATTTAGAAAAGAAAGCAGACAGGCTGACCCAAAGCCATCATGTAAATACAGGGAGTGATTTTTAACCTGGGAGTTAGAATTCGCATTCTGCTAATCAGACCATCTTGGGAAGAGTCATTATTGTCCAGTTTTGCAAGACCAACATTTATAGCAGCAGTCAGTAAAAGGGCTGAGGAAGTAGACTTGCTCATGAAAGCTCACATTAAAATATAGCAGTTAGTCTTTAAGGTGACACAACGTTTTTGTCTTTTTATTTTTTTATTTTTCATATTGTTATATCTATCTGTAACTTGTATTTGTGGACATGTGAGCAAACCTGTATCTGACTAGTTTTTCATTTTCTCCATCCATCAGACAACAGCAGGTTATTTCAAAGGGCTGCTTGGGGACAGAACATTTTGTAGGCTAGACCAGCAAACCAAAGACCATGTAAATGCAGTAGGAATCCTCTTTTTTTCTGATTTATTTGTGATAGTCCCTACCCTTATTCTACAAAAAAAGGCTTGAAAGGGGGGGGGTTCCAATCTCCTATTTGCTCTTGTGTAAGGGAAGTTACCTTCTGCACTTGTTCCAGCAGCTTCTCAGCATCAGCCCCACTAAAATGCCTGCCCAGGACGTGGGCCAGCGACTGCCAAATGGCAGGATTCTGTGGGGGACCAGCTCTGCGGCCAGGTTCCTCAGGCGATGCCTTCTCCTGTGGCTTGATCACAAGATTGAGCTTTGACTCTGGCCCAATAGAATAATCAGACAGACAGTGTTCATCTGGGAAGGAAACATACGATTGCTGTGTAGCCAGTATGTAGGGAGAAGTCACACACCTGTAACCAAAACCTATGCCTTACCCTCAGCCAGCATTTTGCACAGATATATGAAGGCTTGGGGGGGAGAGAAAGATACTCTCAACAATTAGAGAAGAGTAATTAACTAACATGTGTGCAATGCTCAAATCTCAAGAAATGTTTCTGCAATTAGTGTGTGCCCCCACCTTCATGAGAGGATTGTTGGGGGGGTAGAGTATTTGCCTGTGAACTGAAGTCTGTAGTGCGTAGCTGTTTGCAGCTCTCCCTTGAGTATCAGGTGTATTCACCGTTTTGCTTTTTCAAAAGTAAAGCTGTTGTGTTTTTCTATTTGATAAACATGGGTAATAAATTGCTGGTGGCAGATAATTCAGTAAGCCAGCATCTGCTGCATCAAATGAGTGAAGTGCATCCCTTCACCTGCCAATGTACGATAACCTTTCCAGGCCTCTGTTGAAGTGAGCTTGGGCTAATTAAACTCTTCTGCCCTAATCTGTTTACTAGACTTTGGGGTGCCACGGGGCTCTTTGTTGCGTTTCCCAAAGAACTAAGTGTTCAGGTAATCACCCTCATCTGGGAAAAGAGTAAAAACATCTTCTGCTACAGCAGAAACACATATTGCCAAAGACCATTCGATACATAAATATATATGTATGTATGCACATGAATAATATACATACACAGAAATTGATATTATGTAAAACAAAGTTGAGACAGATTTATGGAGACCCTAATAGGTCTTTCAGGGTAACTGAGATATTTAAAGGGTGGTTTTACTGGTTCCACACTCCTATGGCTGAGCAAGGATTTGAACCAGATTTTCCAAATTCTGTTCTGTCACTCTATCCAATACAGTAAGTATCTATATACAAAGAAGTACATAAAATGGATTTTGTATTTCAAGTTTAGCTCATGACCTTACTTTGTATCATGACAACATATTGAATATCCTAATGTTATGATATACAGTGGTGCCTCGCAAGACGAAAGTAATTCGTTCCGCGAGTAGCGCTGTCTTGTGAAATTTTCGTCTTGCGAAAAGCGGTTTCCCATAGGTAAGAATTGCAATGCATTCCTGTGGGAACCTTGCAAGGTGAAAATAATTCATTCGTCTTGCGAGGCATCGGTCTTGCAAAAAAAAAAAAACATTCGTCTTGCGACGCATGGCCATAGAAGAAGCTAAGAATTACAATGCATTCCTATGGGAACCTTGCAAGGTGAAAATAATTCATTCGTCTTGCGAGGCACTGCAAAAAAAAAAAAACAACAACATTCGTCTTGCGACGCACGGCCATAGAAGAAGCCGTCTTGTGAGGCACCACAGCGATCGCAAAAACCATTTGTCTTGCGGGTTTTTCATCCCGCAAGGGGTTCGTTTTGTGAGCCACCACTGTAGCTGTCTTTAGACATGCTAGCAACAAGTCTTTTCTTTTCCAGCCTGCAAAACTAACAACCAAGCTATTTAGGATGCACTGATTTTTAAAAAGGACCATAGAAAATCACGTACACTCAGAGTTATTGGCTAGGATGCTTGGGAGACATTAAAAGACATGGAGGTTATAAAGATCCACTTGAATGCACCAGCTGAATTTCAGATATAATTGCTGAAATTGCAAATTTCAATATCAGATATAACTGCTGATATAAAGCAGTAATTGCAGATTTCAACACCAGCAATGCCAGCAACACTAGCTTATGCTGTTGCTTCCATTAGAACTGGCCCAAGACATTTTGCCAATTAAGGCAACACAACAAATGACACCCCTGCCAGTCAAGAGACATGGTACCTGTTATGGCATCTGGAAAAGAAGCGCCTCTAGGGATTACTTGCAGGGACTTGAAAACAGGAGGCTAATGAGTTAAATATCTAAATATGTGCCGCTCTTCTAGGACACCTGGACTCACCTATCTCAGAAGGTGACCTTCCCTCTCCCTAATGGTATGGTTGGCTTTACCCCCTAGGCTACCCAGGGCCAGCTCACAGGAAGAAGGCTGAAAACATAGTCAGAGCAAGCTGCATGTATTTGAAACTGACAAAAGCCCTGTGATGTGTCAAGCAATTTTCACAGGGCCATCTATGTCAAACAGGGTCAAAAGGAACCACAGATCCAATTACTATAATGGTCACTAACCAAGGAGTTAATCCTGCCTTGGGGGGGGGACATTCAAGGGCCACATACTGCATGCTATCCTGTCTCCAACCTCAGTGTTTTTTATCCATAGGCAACTACCTAGTCATTAACCACTAGGACTTACCTGCCAGAGCTTTGCCTTTGAAAAGCAGGCGCTGTTGGGATACTGGAACATTCAGCTTCTCTGAAACGAGTCGTTTGAGAGAGGAGATGCGCTCATCTGGGGAGACCTGAGAAAGCAGAGGGCAGTGAGTTGGAGCTGGGCCTGCCGATCCACAGGGACAGAGGAGGGAGTCTCATTGCCTAGAACAGGGATGGACAAGTGTGGCCCTTCAAATAATTTTGGTCAGCAAATTCTGTGATCCCACACACTGGCTATGCTGTGTAGGACTAATGCGAATTGTAGGCCAAAATCATTTGCAGGACTACAGTTGCCCATGCCTGCCCTAGAAAACAGGCATTTATCAAACAGAGAATTAGTTGTCAGAGAAAAAGCTGGTTCAAACCTTTGCTGGATAACTCACATATCTAAAGGCTGCCATCTAGTCTGCCTGTCCTCTGGCAAGTACTGTTAAAAAAGAGATTCTCACTCACTTGGGGCTGTTCCAAGAAGTTTGCTCCACTGATGGGATACTTCAAATGAAGAAATATTATTCTGTTCTTAATTTATGGCCACAATTTAATTTAATATTAATTTATTTTATTGCAGAACTCTTGTGTTTAGAGGCTACATGAAAGGCAGAAACACATGAAATGCAGAATGTTTGGGCATATGTATTTCTGTCACGCAGATATTAAATAATAGTATTCAGCATTTTGTATGGTGCTCTTCAACTTACACTATGTTTAACATTTCTTCTTTCCCTATCCCCGAATCCTATTAAAAAGCCAGAGTTGCATGATACAAGTTTGCCTTGAACATTAGTTGCAAGGATAGTGTGTAAGATGATATGTGGAATGCTGTTACAGAAAGTAGAGTACTATCCAACTGAAGAATATCATACTTCTAAGATAAGGGCTGCCTTAAGCTGAAGAAATCTGGAAGGCAACCATATCCTGCTAAAACTGTCTGGGGCTTCAGAACGTAATCCCACTGATTACCATAAGGACAATGCATGGGTCTGGTTAGTGCCTAGAAAGGAGCCCACCTTGAAATCCCATGATGAAGGAAAAACAGGATATAAATGTTGCTTTCTGAAAAAGTTATTTTTAGAGTCTTTAATCTAAGATTCTTCCCACCATGCCTATAACTGCTTTGAACTGTTGCCTTCCAGCAGAAGATACAAAGCAACTAAAACTCGGAGGACACATTTTTGAACAGTTTTTATCCTAGCGCTGTAATTGCTTTTATCCTAGAGCTATATATAAAGGCTGGACTGGATGAATCCCAAAATGGGATTAAGATTGCTGGAAGAAATATCAACAACATCAGATATGCAGATGATACCACTCTGATGGCAGAAAGCGAGGAGGAATTAAAGAACCTCTTAATGAGGGTGAAAGAGGAGAGTGCAAAAAATGGTCTGAAGCTCAACATCAAAAAAACTAAGATCATGGCCACTGGCCCCATCACCTCCTGGGAAATAGAAGGTGAAGATATGCAGGCAATGACAGATTTTACTTTCCTGGGCTCCATGATCACTGCAGATGGGGACAGCAGCCACAAAATTAAAAGACGCCTGCTTCTTGGGAGGAAAGTGATGACAAACCCAGACAGCATCTTAAAAAGCAGAGACATCACCTTGCCGACAAAGGTCTGCATAGTCAAAGCTATGGTTTTTCCAGT